TAGCACGTGGATGGCCATGAATAGTAGTAATAGTAATCATATGTAGTACTGCACTTGCCAGCCGCATTTCGCAACTTTTTTGCGCGCCTTGTGCTCGCTCTAGCTAAGGCATGGCCATCATACCTGTTCCGGGATCCGGTCACTGTGTTATTCCCTTCAGCGGCATATACAAATCGTCGAACAAACGGACTTACTTTGAGGTATTGAAGGCGCCGTCTCCACCACCTCTGGTATAAATATCAATAAGCGCTATTACGATCTTCATATCATTTCCACACAAGCTAAGTATCATCAATTCGATTCCGCTTAATGGGGACTAGTATATTTGTCCAAATTATCCCAATTTCCATTTGATATTTCCTCGGTTTTGTCCCTAATAAGCGGCTGTTCTGATCATCAGTTGAATGTACGTATTACTCAAAACGTAGATCGTGTAAAAAATAAGAAACGATCGTTACGCAACGTGAATTTGTATTAGTTAACTTTACATTTGGATCACGATTTTAAAGACAGCAGTAAAACGATACACAATTATCATTATATTACTACAAGCGAACCGCGCTTTATAATGACGGTGCATTTGTATTTGTTATGAGGTTTCTCTTTACCACGTGGTCACTCTGCCGTGCCGTGTGTAGCAGTAGCAAATTACTTCATTCCGCTTCTGGTATTTCCATAGTTAATCGTCGACAAACTTCTAAAAATGTTTTCATTATAACCAAAACAATAATTACAAATCTTGTCCTGATGTTTCAATCATTTTTACGCACTAATAATATTATTTTTCTCAACACAATTTGTTACAATTTACTTTGTTATAAGAATAAATCTAACAATTAACGTGTTGTAAAATTATTATTAAATTAAAACTTAATTATATAAAAAAAAAACAGTGTAATAAAATAATTGGATAACGCACGCTACGTTTATGCATTTTTACAATCTTCACGTGTAAATCATGTTCGTATTATGAACTATGCAAATTCAAAACTCGTTACACAATCATAATCATTTATGCGAACAAAACTATCGTTACAGAAACAATATTATCGTCATTGGTTGTTTTATGCCGTAATTGTAGTAGAAACGACTAAATGCGTTATTGTTAAGATATCTGCGCACTTTGCAATACTCATTCAAAATTCATTATTAGTCTTTCGTATAAAAGCTTGCTCGTATAAAATTCACATTAATAAATGCGATATGAAAATTTATTACGTAACATTACAAATAATAATGATTGCATTAACAGTTTTAATACAAGATTTGTAATGTTTTCATTCATTGATGATTTCTTATAAATTAACTATTTCTTCATCAATTTTTCACAGAATATTAATCATTTTTATTACAACAGCCTCACAATAATAATTAAGTGATGTAAAGCAATAATTTTCATATATTATTCAAATTATAAAAAAAAATATTTTAAAAAAAATATAATTGAAATAAATCTTCAAAATTTTGGAATTACGTAGTTATTACGCAGTATCTGGATACCAAAGAATTGCAGCAAATGTGCATGAGTTTAAAAGTTTATTTTCGTTACGTTTATGCACATGACTATCATTGAAAAACTGAAGGTATAATAGTTTCAAATATTGTTTTTTTTAAGCAAAAGCATGTTGCGTGTGAACATCTTTACGCACAATTAATTGCATTTACGTTTAACTTTAGAATTGTCTATTATTAATCTTTTTTTTAAATTAGATATATAATTAGTCATGAAGATTATCTTTTAAGTTGATTGGAGTAGTTTTGTTTTAAATCGGATTGTAAACGTTTCATTCAGACCCAAAACAAAAACGGGTTCGTGTTCTAAAGTAGCGTTGATATCTCCAGCTTAAACCAGGCAATTCCTCAGAAAAGATAGAAATTAAACGATTTTAATTATCATAATCTAATCAAAAGTGATTATATTTGCATGGTATTTATTTAACACGATTTTTGAAATAACACGATCCAAAATAATATACGGATTATTTCGTTTGTACTTGATTGAAAATAATGATATCGATATTTTTAAACCTAATTTTTTTTACGCGGTTTCGAAGAACACTATTTTAAATTATGTCTTTTTTACTTGTTTCAACGTGCTCTTAAGAAAATATTTATTATGTAAAATTATATTTCAAAGTATTTATTAGAAAATAGAGATTTTTACACGGTTTCGCAATAACACGATAAAAAATACAGATTATTTCGTTTGTACTTGATTGAAATTGCTTTGGAAAATAGTGATTTCAATATTATTAAACGGTAAATAAATTACGTATTTATTTATTTATTTATTTATTTATAATCAAATGTATATATTAGAAAATAGTGATTTCGAGTCTTAGAAGTTATAGTTCTATTGTGAGTAGAAGCAAAACCAATGCGTTATTGCGTAACTTTGATGGTGGTGGTATCAGTGTATTTCATAGGAAAATTTGACGCAAACGTCACGGAAATTGCATGCAATTCTAAGAGTTATTACCACCGATAAGCGTAATGCTACATTGATATATGACCCTTAATGAATCAATTGGAAACAATTTCACTATCGATATCAGCTGCAATGAAGGAAACAATAGATCATTAAAATTACCGAGTCTCGTAAATCATATTATACGCAAAACATATTTGATATCGATTAAGTTGCAACTGGCATATAGAACTGAATTTCTTTTGAGGATACATGAAGGATTCCGATACAGAGTTTTACGTAGACGAAACGGGAAAGGACTAATCGCAAATGACGAAATTCCATTAATTTCCCCATAAATACGATAAGAGCGTGTTTGTGTGTGTGTGCGTTGTAGAACAGGCAACAGCGTCGGCTAACAACAACAATAAAAAAAGGTCTGTAGACCATTGAAAATAACGCGACCTAGCTGCTGCTGCTGCTACGGGTTGGTTTTATGGACGGCCGTTGATATTTCCTAGAGAGAGTTATATCGTTCTAGGATAATGTTGGCTAGAGAAATGAAGTGGTGTCCAAGCGATCGTATGTGTTTGCGAGTGCAGATACAGATACAGCTGCCACACCCAATCTATTCAGATATTGAACAAACGGCCCACTAAATATACAACAGTAAAACCAATTAATGGATATCGTCGAGTTGGCGACCATACGTTTTATACCATGCTACATATATATGTATTTGTACGTATATACATACATATATATTTATAAGTGTGTATGTGTACGTATACGCGTTGTCCTGAAAAAGGTGAAGGGCGATTTCGAAACCGCATACTTCGTGTCCATTACAAGAAAGAATGAGCGAGCGAGCCGTGCGTGTGTCTGTATGTATGTGAGTGTGTGTGTGTGCGCGAGAAAGAGAAACGTGTATGATATACGTTGTATGTGTGTTGGATATTTTTTTTGTCGGTTTGCTCGTGTTGTGTGTGTGTGAGTGTTCGAACAGCGAGTCCAGGTTTTTCGATGCGGAGAGGCCAAACCTAGGTCGCATCCCGGTAGGACAAGCTGATGATTTTTCTTCTTTCCTCTCCCAACTTTTTCTTTCTCCTCTCTATCATTTTTTATTTATTTATTTTTTCTCCTCATCTCGATTCAGGTGTCGAACGGCGACGTATTTCTTACGGTAAAATTAATCTTTGACCTTTACGATCGCCAAGGCTGAAGGATGTGTGGACCGTCTGGGAGGTGTCCGGGGTGAAGGGAATCGTATCTCTGTGTAAGTACGCTTGTGTGCGTGAGCGTATACGAACACATATACACATGTGTGTGTGTTTGTGAGGCTGCAAGCTCGGGCCGATGAGGCCGCGGGCCAATCGGCTCGAGAGGCGCGGGCGCGGCTCCAACATCTCTGCTCTCCGTCTACCGATTTTGCCTTCTCTACCTGTGCGCCGTTGCCACTGCATCCGTCAAGAATTTCTTCTCGTTGCCTTCTTCCTCTTCATCTATAACCGTAGCCTCCTCCCCGTCCCGCAGCAAGGGAGGCCGGTTTTCTATTTATGTTTCTTCGAACCCCTTGCATCTACGGAGAGGAGCGCTAACAGGGAAGTCGTCATCACCGACCAGAGCAGACCGGACCGGACTGTCCCGGTACGGTACGGGTACATGTGATTTATGCTAACTGCGCTCAGCAGCGCATCCGCAATTAACGAAAGCGCGCGCGAGCGCTAATCCTAATCCCGGGCGTCGCGACGCTAGAATCCGCTTTATCCGCTAACTCTTTCCAACCCCGACGCCACCATCATCATTATTGTCCTCCCATTGCGTTCTTCATCTCTCGCGGCCGACCTCAGGTAGAAAGGAATCGGAACGCGTAGCGCGGCGGCATCAGAGCATCATCCCATCATCCTCGCCTGACCGTGTGTTTCGCCGGAGCCGTGTGGACTCGGCGCGTTAAGGTTCAAGGTAACTTTAGTAAAATAATAACATTCAGTTAAGCTAACCGAGGCCGCTGAGAGTTCCACAGATCCGGCGGCTGCGTTCTCTCTCTCTCACAAACACATAGTCTTCTTTCTCTCGCTCAATCACTCGGTATAGGCTAAGGGCTGTACACTAGACACTGGGCTAGATCAAAAATTCATCCAGATCTTGGTGCCCATCAACCGAAGCTCCCGATGCCCGTCACCATAAAAATACCAACAAACAAACATGCATTCCAAATATTTATATAATGACGATGGTAATTAGCGAGTGTAATTGCCCTCAGGATGCGACGACGACAACGAAATCTATATTGGTGCAAGCAACATTATAACTATTGATTATTATTATTATTGTTATTATAATTATTTCATATGGTATCTATACATTTCTATAGATGTGTGTATATATGAATGTAGATACATATAGGAGCGGTGTGGCTGTAATAACCTTGAGGTGTTTTGTGTAGCCCGAGATTTCGCTCGGTTGCCTTACTTATGCTGCCAGTATTGGTTTCGCCGCCGTTTTTCTCTCTATCTCTCTCTTTCACAATCTCTCACTTTCAATCTTTCTCTCTTTACTTTTTAATGATGTATTTATTTTTAGAGGCACATACCTGATTCCGACGACGGGGACGGACATGTCCTCGACGAGCTCAGAGAGCACCAGGACGGTGGTGGCGGGCACCTGGTTCTGGGGATACTGCAAAAGACCCTGTCCGTTGCCTTGGAGCACCACGGAGACGGTATTAGCATCGCCTGCGCCTGTTGCTACCATCGGTTGTCCATCGACGAGCACATCCGCGATCTGATGGGTGCCGTGCATTTGGTGGTGGGCATTGATGTTGTTGATCGTGATCTCCCTGGAGCTGTCTGCGGAGTAGATCTCGACGCCCTTCTGATCCGGCGCCGTCGTGTATATGACCGTCTTGTTGCCGTCCTCGTAGATCAGGTCTATGGGGGCGTCGTGCTTGTCGTCGTGTCCGTAGATGTCGTCGTCCTTCTCGTACATGACTTCAGTCTTAACCTGAGTGTATATCGGTGAGGTGGTGATGGCACGTTTCTGATCCATTTCTTTCTTGAGCTCGATCACGTTGACGGGGGTCATAGTGGCCAGCATGGCAGGTGGACTAGGCGCGTCGCGCATCGGAGATCTGTTAGCCGGCGACGCCTGGGGTGGCGGCGGCGACATCATGCTGACGTCCGACACCATCGGCGGCGAGGAATTCGATCCGGACATATTCTCAATGTTGCGTCGCGTCATATTTTAATTCCTTTATTATATTATTATTATTATTCTCTTTTATGAATTCAATGTTTTCTTTCAAATTATTTTATGTTATTTAATTTAATTTTTTATTTATTATGGCTTGGGGTCTATCACAGAGTTCACTTTGCACGATTAGCGAAAATAACAAAATAAGAAGAATGTAATAAAGAGAAAAAAATTCGCTTCAGCAACAACAAACAACAACAAATTGTAATGCTTTGCTTAATCCGCAATTACTTTGCTACTGATAATAATAATATATTTATATATTGCACTTGTTTACTTTTTCGTTCTTATATATGGCACTTTTATGGCTTGTTAGTGAAACTTTGGGATGTCGGGTGTGTCTCTAGAGGTTCTCCGTATTTATATCTTTGTTATATTAATTATTATTAATAATTGTTGAGCGTTTTTCCTATGGTCGCGTCCTTTTTCTTCCTAATGGCAACCTGGAAATCAAATAGAGTAGTTTCATTATAGAGTCACGGCTGTTGATCGGGTTTAGGCACTGCCAGCGTCCGGAACTCCACGTGCGGCCGGACAGGTTTGACAGCCATATGGGTGTAGTGTAGTGCAACCGACGTCTACCACGAGGGGGTGGCTCGGCTCGAACCGGTTACGTGTTGCTAACTGTTTTCGGTCGGGAAGTTATTCGCGCGCGTGGACAATGGTCAATCGATTAATATTCCGGAGACGACGCCGGCGTCCATTGGCTCGCAGCCATCGGCTTCGATTATTGGCCGCCCCGCGACCAATCATCGTAAAGGCATCGCTTGATTATCATTATTATCATCAATTCTAATATTGCTAATATTACAAGCGTTACCGAAACGCTGCAATTAACAAATTGTTTATTTACGTTGCAACGAATGTCGGAAATGATTTGTTTTTGAAAAAGCTTTGTTGTTGTGGCGCCAAAATGCCGGCGCTCCAACCGGTGTGGTGTGCCTGATGCACTTGTTGCCGGAATCTGACGGTACACTGCAGGTAAACTAGTTGGGGCGTCACAGTCGCCATTCAAGATCAAGTATTAGCAAATACTTGATGAACAGGTCTGGCCTGGCCGACCGGTGGTATAACAGGTACTATTGTGGCCATTCAATATTCAAAACAATAACAAAAAGCCCCCATGCATTCACGTAGTTTTCGGTGCGCCGCGGAACGGCTCGGGGACGCCGCGCCTCGCTCCTGGTGCCCAAGCGTCTCTTCGATTCTTGGATACCATGAAAAACCATGGCACGGCACGGTACGCGGGGGTCAGTTCTCATCATCTCCATCGTCTCTGTTTGCTCGGAGATCTTTGTTTGCATTGCGCCCGTCTGCTCAGCTTGTTTACCGAATTTTTTAGCGTCGCCGAACTTAGTCATAAACTTGGAGGTTTACCTTTGTTTGATCTGATGTCACTGCGGAGTGCGGCGGTCACTTGTGCGGATGCTCGGGCACAACAACAACAACAACGGGAACAACAACAGCGGCAACGAGAACAACACACTGCCCGGTGGAGAAATCCATGTTCAGAGCATTTTGACAACTTGAACATTCCCTGATACAATTGAGTATTTTTAATCACATACTAGCGTCTACAGGTGTTTCCAACTAATACTCTACTGACTGTTAGTGCGGCGACTCAAAGCCGATCACAGGTATGAGGCCTAGCGAACAGAAACGATCGAAAATCGACTAACGTGTGTCGCCATCGCGCCGCTCTTCGGGCTGTCGGTGAGGTGCACGAGGCTGTGGGCCGTTTGTCTGCGCTTGGACCGATCGGTTGTTTGTTGTGCTGCGCCCCCGGCCGTCCCGCCGCCCGGCGCGCCCATCCCATCTCGCTTGCACCCATCGCCAATGCACAGCACCTACGTGGGAGTATGAGACAGAAGCTACCCTCCACCTCACCACTCTTCGCTTCACCTCACCTCACCACTCCGCAGCTCAGGTGTGTGGAATCATGGCCGCTGCCCAGGTTTTCGGGGGGAATCTGTTGCCCCCTCGTCCTGTCTCCATCCTCCAGCGGCCCAGCGAGCTGAAAAAGGATGCCCATAGTTTCACCTGCATGACTTGCCGGACTGCACTCGGATAACCGACGGTGGAGGGAAATAAAGCGATTGAAAATAAAACGACCATCAACGACGACGACGACCACGGCGACGACCAAAAGAAAGAAAGACACACACACATCCATACAAACACATATATATATATGTACAAATACACACACACACTCATACATATACAACTCGCTCGTTCGCATCTCGAGGAGGAGAGAAATAGGAACAATAAGAAGTAAAAGTATAAGGCCAGACATGCCTAGGGCGATCCAGGCGTGTTCTCAAATACAGCAGTCGTGGTTCATGAACTGGGATGAGATACACCACCGCAACGCCGTCGGTCCATCCATCCATTCATTGCTTCAGCCTCCCCTGAAAAAAACCCCAAAGGAGAATCGCAGAAATAAGTAAAGTGAGAAATTAAAAGGAGGCGCAAATGCCACCCCCTTGCCACCATAGTCCTCTCAATTTGAAATGGCTGCGGTGCGGTGCATGCAGGCCCAGCGCTTCTGTACCGACCGCTCCGGGAGATCTTAACGCTGGCGCACGCTACGAACCCAGAGAGCTCGCACTCAAATTTATACAGAGAAACAACGCACACATACACATGCACACATCCATATGTACGTGTCCTTCGTTGACCTTCACATTTTACACGATTGTGCCAGGAGATTGTATCTACATATGGAAATGCTCGTTTAAGGTTATGAATTTTTGATTAATATCTGCATCAACGTGTGTGCTCGGTGCGCTCAAAAAGAATAACAACGGAGGCAAAAAGGAAGAATAACAACAACAACAAACAATACAACCAACAACATATGAAATAATATATATATATATATATAAATATGAGCAGAACATCGCTTGAATCGACAAATCAAAACGAGCAGTCGTGCAATACAATTTGTTTAGTTGAGTATGCACCGTTTTGTTTCTTCTTCTCCCTCGCATCACGTCCAATTAGAATCGGAAATCGGGAAAGCGCGTTCTCGCAATGGCGCACTGCCATGGCCAATGGTGGCCGTGCGATGGATCCGTGCAATAAGCACGCGTACCCCGACATACGACCGTCGCTCTTTACTCGTTGCATTATTCATGTAACACTCACACAAATACACACGTACATGTCGATAATTGCAATTCATCATCATTTAACTAGTCTAGATTTTCGCTCGAAATTAAAAATCACCAATAACTAGTTTATTTTACCAGCGCAGCCAACAAGGCAACTAAAGCAAGGTTCATTCATCGCTCAGTCCGTCTGACATTCTATTAGTAGCATCTGTTTTTGTTAGGAGTTATTCCTCCTGATACGTGTATTATTGACTATTCTTTCTATTCAAAATATTCTATTTGTTCTTTGCTCCCAATAAATAATTGTCCAATAAATAAGTATAATAATAGATTTATTGACAAAAACAATACATGAACAGACATAAAAATAGAAAACAAGCATAATTGAATCAAAATGGACAAAAATTCCCAATCAATTATTGCAATAAAATAATGTTTATTGTTGTTGTGCAATCCAATTTAAATATTATTGAAATTATTAATGATGATTTATATGGTTTTAATGTGTTTTTTTTGTAATTATTGAAATAATTATTTTTCTTAGAAATTATTTTTCGTTGAGTTGCGGTTTGTAGACGCATTGCAGGATTCGCTGGAAAATCTGTCGTAAACCGAGGTATGGGTAAACAAGGAAAGACAAAAAAAAGAGAAAGACCTTATATATTTTTCTCTTTATTTTCCTTGACGTTGTCCTTTTCTTGTTCTGCTTGATTTTTTTGGAAAACGGCTTTTGTTGTTTTGGAACTTTCACCGTTCGGTTAGTTAATCACCTTCACTTCCACACACACTGAAATTGGCATTTAAAGCCGCTGCACTTTATTATATTTGGCAGCCCGACGAAATGTCACACATATACAGATGTACGTGCATACATGTATGTATACGTGTATATACACGCGCGGCAGACATAACAACTCATACGAGCCGCATAATAATGATGAAAGTCCACGTCCGAAAACCATGAAATAACAATTCCCGGACGCTTAAACACATACTTAAAAGGCCGTTTATTTTAACCACCCGAACGGCCCTTGAATAATTCCCACTTAATTATCCTGAGATGCAGAAACTCATTGTTTTCAATGAAATTTCAATTCTATCAATAATTATTACCAAATTCTCGTTTAAACCTAATTTCGTTATACTACATTTTCCAACAATATTCTTAAAAACAACAAGAAACAAATTGACATATTTTCTTAATGTTACATTATTAATGTTACTCATATTTTTTTCTTTTTTTTTTTTATTATTTACAAAGCAATATATCTACAATAAAAAGAAAAACAGATAACATGGTCTAGTTCTGGGCTTAATAATGAGAAAAATTAAAAATATATATTGGAGATTGATCCAGCGACCAAATTCACATACACGCAAACAAGCCTTGTTATCAATTTAGGCACTAACACTAACTTTAAAAGCGATTAGCGAGGTCCTGTGATTTCTTATATAAAGATCTCTCTAAAAGATTCTAACTTCCACAAAAAAATCATCTTAACTTAAATTTGTTTCTAAATTGAAATTTGATAGAAAATGTTCATTGATTTGACTTATAAAATGATTCGACTTTTGATATGTCAATGTAAAAACTACTTAAATTTTTGTTATTAGTTAAAATTAGTGTATTTCAAAAAGAAAATTTTAACATTTTGTTAAATTTATATTATCATTAAAAAATTTAATTGTGATAACTCTATAATTAAACGTACAATTATTTTTTATTGAAGGATAAATGCACGTGAGATAGGAATCAGGTAATTTAAGAATAGCAATTTTGAAGATGGATTAGATTAAAACAAACGTGACATTACTTAACTGTAACATTCCAATCTTTTGAAATACTTTTTAATTAGTAATAACATTACAATTCCATATAAATCCAATTAATTCAGTATAATAATAACAATATTTTTTTTAGACTTTGACACATTAAGACATATCTTAATAATAATAATAATTAGTTACAATGCAACCAAAGGGCTATCGACCTAAGTCTTTCCGCCCAGAGACACAAAAAACATAAATTGTTACAATAAATCATATAAATAAAATGCATTCTGAAATAAAAAGTAAGACGTACATTGCATATCTTATTTAACATTATTTTCGCATTTATTAAACGTATTTCTTTATTCAACTTAAATCTGCGTATTTACATTTAAAACCTATTGTTTCTAAGCTAAAATCGTTTAAACAAAAAAAAAACTAAAAATGTAGTTTTTTTAGCATGCGGACTTCGAGTTTATTTATGCTTACAAACATATTATTCGCAATGCTTAAATGTCAATAGAATTTATGATTCCTTTTACATCAATTTTTAATTTCCATATTCAAATCCTAGCTTTGCTCTTTTTTGACAAAACAGCAATAAAAAAAAACCGCAACTTTTAATTCAAAACTGATATTCTTAAATCAAAAAAAAATGTATTGTTTTCAAATTTGACTGTTTTATAAGTGATAATGTCAAAATATAGATCGGGACTTCTTGAAGAAACCAGATCTTGACCTATCTTAATACACTATTCTCAATATTGGCCTTTCCGAAAGATCACGCGTTACGTAAAGAGACACACAGACATTAACATCTCAGTGTTACGAATCGTCGTTATCTAACATTATCTTTGGTGTATCAATTCCAACAGAGTTAAGCAACGTTGGATTTGTATAATGGGAGCCCCGACCTGAGCTTAAGCGTGCTTTGCAATTGAAGATTAATAGATTGTTATGCAACAATCCCGATCTATCTTTCAAATGAAATACGATCGCTAATTACCAACGCGGATTACGTAACGGTTTGGTTGTGGAACAGCAAAGAGAAGTTTTACTCGACGTCGATCATCCATGGAGGCTTCTGCACATTTCGTAGACTTGCTTTCATTTGTCTACCACAACATCAACATAATCATCATCATCATCCTCTAACACTTTCCGTTTCTTGCTTTCTTTGCTCTCGCTCATTCGGAAAATTGTTTCGAATTAGCGTCGTTCAATAATAAAACGGTGACCGTGAATAAATTAATGGCCGAATTATTCTGGCAATTATTTTCGTGTTTTTACTGCTCCTTCACTTCGAGAACTTTCCATCTCCGTCTACGCTTGTATAAATATATACATATTTTTTTGTCCACCCTGAAGCTATGTTACTTCTACTTCCTTTTTGTTATACGTTCGAAGCCAATTGCGCAAAACTGTTGTTGTTGCTGTTGCTGTAACGAATTTTTGTTTTGACGCCAATTGATCATATTTTTTTTGAAACTTCGACGATGTTTCATTTAACAATTGTCTAGCCTCGATGCTGAATATGTTTCAATCATTTTCCAGTATACAAATTGCGAGATTTGTAAGTTGACCAACATTTTAATTTGTTTTTTTTTTTATATTTTTCTGGCATTTTGAAATAACCTTAATCATTAATATTAGGTTCACTTACAAGTTATGTAATCGTTTATTTGTTATAACAATTTTATTTAATTTTGTTTTTTTTTTAAGAAAATGTGAAAACTCTGCATTTTCGATGAAACCAAAACTCACTACATTCCCTAAAAATCTAGCTTTCATATGCATTTTTGGATCGAATAACT